TCCCCCACTCCCTCTCTTCTCATAAGGTTTTTCTTTATTCTCTCTCTCTTCCCCCATTTCCTCTCTTCTAGCATGTTACTGTTTCTTTTTTTCTCTCTCTCTCTCTCTCTCTCTCTCTCTTTATTTTTGCACTATTTCTTCTACATCTCATTTTTTGGTCATTAAAATCAATCTATTTTCTACTCCATAAAATTCACGTTTTCACAGGAGATGAGATTTTTATCGTGAGTATCCAATTTTATAACACTATAGTATCTTAAATTGAAAAAATAATATAGTGAATTAATGAAAAAATTATAGTTGACTACCATTTTTTTGATAGTAGATTATCTAATTTTTGTAGTTGACTCTCGCAGCAATATAGTTAAGTACCCATTTTTTATAGTTGACTACCAAGTTTTTATAGTTGACATCGTAAAAATTATAATTGACTATCTAATTTTATAGTTGACTTTGGGTACAATATAGTTAACTACCCGATTTTTATAGTTGACTCTGCGTGTAGATGACTACAATATTTTATGTTTTTCGCCACAACAATGATCTCTTCTTTGTTGTGGACTCTAATAAAACAAATTTCATAGGAAAAAAATACTTATGAGTCAACAAATAGTGCGACCATAGATTTGTAGATCTAAAAAACAAGCTTGTTTACAAACTCCATTTTTGAGTAATCAACCATGGAAGAATTCCGAACCGTCGCATATGATCGTCACGCTTCTTTGATTTCGGCGTCATTGAAATTAGGGAAAATTTCATGATTTATGTATGAAAAAGAACATAATTAATCAATCAACTATTAAATCTGCAACAATTCTAAGTAAAAATCGATTATCGATTTCAGGCTTAACATTGCATAGTATTTATGTAGGAGACTTCGATTTGTCCTTCGAAGACGCTGAGAAGGGTGAAAACATAAATTATTATGTTGTAAAACTACATAAATTAGGTTACTAGAAGTGAAGGGGGCCCATAAATGTATAGGAAACTACTCGTCTTCGGTTTGCTAGATTTCACCATTGTTGTCGGCATGTATTTCTCTCTAATTTGCACAAATCTCAGTTTTTTCATGAAAAAATGTAGCAAACCAGGGTACTGTTGGACCGGGGAAGGATCGTATATATTTTGCAGATTTTTTTGTAAGATCTATTCTTTAATATTTTCTCTCTGCATTATCAAACCCTACCACAAGACGACTATTTAAAGATAATAAAACCCTAGAATCCTAATCTAACTAGGAAAGATAATTACCTATACTAATAAAATACTAAATATTTCTCCTAACCACTAACTCACGACCAATTATATAAACCTAAACAAACTATTCTAATTAATTAATAATAACTAAATACTAAATAAATCAAGAACTAAATTATTAATGTAAATAATAAATTATAATCGTAACATTTCTCCCCTCTTGAAATTAACCTTGTCCCCAAGGTTCGATCAATTTGGTCCCTCTTCTTGCGTTTCTACCTATGTTTGACACCATTAAATTTCTTCGGAACTAATTTGGTGTGAACAATGCTGACACGACAAGTGTAAAATAGTTTTTCGACCACTTCATTAAAAATGGGTATCTCTTTCGTCTCTTCCACCTTCAAGTTTGCAAGCAAATTACTACCATTTTGCAAAATAACATTAACTGTAAGGATCTTCGGAAAAACTTCACAATCTCTATGTGACACAATTGAATTTAGATCATTAGTAATGTCACCATTCCCCATACCGTGGATAATTGCAACATCATCTTCACCTTTATCTCTTTTCATACTAACTACAGAAATATTGTCGGATTTCTCGGGTACCACAATCTCCACACTTAAAATCGGATCTTTCTTAAAGCTATGGAAGTCTTTCAAAATTCCATGCAATTCTTCGTTTTCGTCACCGATTAATTTCTTATCTTCGTCCCAAATTATCTCGATTGAATCTGATAATTCCTCTTTCGTAGCACTAACGAAAAATTGAGCCTCTTCAAAAAATTCATCGTCGTCATCTTCCTCTGCCTCTTGCGGTAGGCTTGGCATTGGCGGCGGCGGATCTTCGAAAAAGTCATCTTCGTCCTCTTTCTCTTCCTCCAGCGATAGGCTCGGCGGCGGCATCAGTGGCGTTGTTGGCCGGCGGTGGCGGTCGCTTCGGTTCTTATGTTAGCGTCGTCTTTGACTTTGTTCGAGCAATTTTTGGACACCAATCCGTATCTCCTCCACGGATTTTTCCAATCGCTCCAACCTTTTTCTCTCGGACGACATAATTTCGCAAAGTGTTGATGTAATCTCAACTTTACTCCAGCGTAACTTTGATATAATCGTTGCCTTGCTAACGAAGCGTTGGTGTTATCGCAACTTCGCTCTGATTGATGCAGCGTAGCTTTGATATAATCGTTGCCTTGCTAACGAAGCGTTGGTGTTATCGCAACTTCGCTCTGATACCAATTGATGCGATCTCTTGAGTATCATAAATATTTCCTACGAAACGTAAGATCTATTCTTTAATATTTCTCTCTGCATTATCAAACCCTAGCACAAGACGACTATTTAAGGACAATAAAACCCTAGAATCCTAATCTAACTAGGAAAGGTAATTACCTATACTAATAAAATACTAAATATTTCTCCTAACCACTAACTCACGACCAATTATATAAACCTAAACAAACTATTCTTATTAATTAATAATAACTAAATACTAAATAAATCAAGAACTAAACTATTAATGTAAATAATAATTATAATCGTAGCAGGGAGATATTACATTGAAGAAACGGTTGAAGATTTGCTGATTTGGGAGAAAATGGTGGGGGTCATTGCTATTAGAAAATATGAGGGTAGTTTAGTAATTGGTAAATGTGAGGGGGTTTGACCCATTTAAAATAATGATAGGTAGTTAGTCCTAATATTTTTGTAATGAGGAGCTTATCCTTCATTAACCCTTTGTTTAATTGGACAAATGGCAAAGAGAGAGGCGACAAGGGACTTAAATGCACATTGGTCCACAAAAAACAAAGGTCTTTCAAATAAACTCATTCTCATGTCTTTAGTCTAAAATACCCTCTATAATATATTTTTTATCAATTACATCCATTATACTCTAACTTCCTTAATATTACACAGTGACCCCGGATTTAAACAAATATATTACATTAACCCCCATTTTAATAATTTTTGAAAAAATATATTTTTTTTTCAGAAAATACCTATTTTCTGATTTATTTTTTCCGGCCAAATTTCGGCGTTGACTTTTTTTTTTTTTGAAATTTTTTTCCGACCGGTCAACCGCGTTGTCTGGCGTTGACTTTTTTTTCGATTTTCTTTTTTTTTTTAATTTTTTTTTTATTACAAAAAAATATGTTAATTAATGTTACTGTCTTGGCTGTTAAATTACTATCTCAGAAAAGTAATATTACTGTTTGGGACAGTAATAATATGAATATTATTTTCTCGAACAGTAATATTACTAATATTATTATCCCAAACAGTAGTATTATTGCACGAGACAGTAATATTACGGTCGTAGACAGTAATATTACAGTCGAAGACAGCAAAAAAGCAGGCCAAAACGATAAAATTAATTAATAAAAAGCAGTTGGAGACAATAATTTAGTAGTCAAGACAGTAATATTAATTAATATAATTTTTTTAAGAAAAAAAAAATTTTCGAAAAAAAAGAGTCAAGTAACAATTAAATTACTGTCTTCGACAGTTAAAATATAACTATTGGAGACAGTAATTTAGCAGCCAAGACAGTAATATTAATTAAATATTTTTTTTAAGGAAAAAAATAATCAATTAACAGTTAAATTACTGTAGTTAAATAACTGCTGGAGACAGTAATTTAGCAGCCAAGACGGTAATATTAATTAAAATATTTTTGTTAAGAAAAACAAAATAAAAAATATATATATATCAACGCCGGAGACCCGGCAGTTGACCTATCGGAAAAAAAATTCAGAAAAAAAAAAGAAGAAAAAAAAATAAGGGTCAACGGCGGCTGGCCGGCGGTCTCCGGTGGTGGCGGGTCAAAATTGGTTAATTGGTGAAATTAGGTTAAATTGAGATGTAAATCATGAAATTGAAGTTGAGTGAATTGGGGTAATTTTGGTATATATAAAAGAATTTTCCTTATTTGCAAATAAGTTTAATTACTGGAAATATTTGAAAGACAAAAAAAGTGAACGTATCTAATTAAGTGTACTTGTCGTGGTCCTATTTACCAACCAAAAACATGTAACACTGGATCAGATATCTTCCGCAAAACTAATTTCCAACATGTGAAATATTTATTATTCCTCAAACTAAACGACATTCGCTAACATACAAAATACATCTGAAATTACATTTTCTTAATGAATATATATAAATAATAAAATCACATGATTCATGATGCATGCAAACATCTTTATTTAGTAGAGGAATCGACCCATTGTTCAATCAAGACGAGTACATAGGCTGCAGAGGAAAAGGTGGAATGCTTTGCTCGTTTCTGAAAAAGTTTGACGGATCGACTTTAGTCTTGACACGAACTAATCGTTCGAAATTGTTCTTGAAATATTTCATCCCCCAAACCTTAGCCTCGTCGTAGCTTCCAATAATATTTCCCGATGAGTAGTTATTGACCCCTAAATCAAGATCCCTGTAATTGAAATAAGCCCCTCTAGGAGATTTCGACACATAAGCGGCCATGTAACCGTAAATTCTCCTCATCCAGTTTAAATGCTTTTCCGCTTCTTCTTTTCCGGGGGAATCCCAACTCAACCCATAATCGATCATGAAAATGTTACCTGTTCGATGTGGGAACGGAGTTTCCGATTCCGAAAAACTATTAAGTGCACCTCCATATGGACTTAACTGAATTTCAGCCATATTTTCATCTTCTTCATGGAGGAATCTCCATATCCCGATGAAAAAGTTTGACGGGTCAACTTTTATATGCCTAGGTGAGGGGTGAATGCGACTTTTCAAAATTACCATATTTTGAAAACTCTTTTTGCTAATTTGAATATTACGGAAATGATTTCTAAAAAAATTATGATCAAATGCGGAAAATTCAAAATGTGACGAAACTATAAATGACACACAATTTTGGTGAAATGTTTCAGTCTTCCACACCCTCCAACTTTTATTAAATTCCACTTAGGTGGTGCTTGCAAGTGCTCTTTGAAAGTGATTATGAGTTTTTTTTATGGCCATAACCTGTTTTTAGGTGTTTGCAAAATCAACTTTTGTTTTTGCTTCTTTTAAAATAATTTGTTTTAAGCTATTTTTTTAATAGCACCTCTAACCCTGTTTTTTCTATTTAATTTCATTTTTCGAAATATTTGCAAATACCCTCAACTTTTAGAAATAAACACTTAAAGTTGACTTAACTCACAATTATTAACTTCTGTTTTTAAATAATCATTTGCAAACACCATCTTAATATTGCACGATTCATAAATTAAAACTTGTAAAATCCACTACTACTATGTTTTGCCCTTCCCTTGAAAATCTTTCGTATATGTGTATAGAGAGGCAAAAATTTTGTGTTCATCTAGGCATTTGAATGAGTAAAATTCCATTTGGGCATCTTTATATTCTTTTTAGGTATATGTCAAACTTCATTGATTGTAGTTGTTTGATTGCCGATATAACTATGTATTTGTTTTTATTCGCATCGTATTCATTTAAAGTTGAATGTATAGACAACCAGTAAATCATAGGCAACTAACTTTAATTTATTATGTGTTTTGATTGTAGTGGTACTTCATTCATATTTGTTTGGTACTTCAGTCAATCAAGGTATTTGGCTCAATAAAATCTAATTTCTACATCTCTATTTTGGTTGAATAAAATTCAACTTGGACATCTCTATTTTCTTCATATTTGTGTATTCATAGTCATTTTTTTTATGTCTGTCGTATTGCAATGGATTATGTTTTCTTTGCTGTAATTGGTTACACGGGATTTTTATTGTGTTTGCAAATACCAAAGTGTTGATTTTGTTCATATGATTTGCAAGTTTGTTATTCATGCTCTTATACAATTTTCTGTAAATATTGTTTTTAGTAACCGTCGGTAACAAGGGTACGTGTGGATTTGTTTGTGTTGGGTTGTACTATAGTCTATCACTGGATGTTGGGTTGTACTGTAGTTTTCTATAAATATTGTTTTCATCTTGCTTGTGTGTTCTATAAAGCGAACACGGAGGGTACAATTATGTGGACGACTACTTTCATGTTTCTTCATATAGACAAAGTTATACTAAAAACGAATTTGTCCATTTGCCAGACCTATAGTTGATCCTCCTTCGGCTGTCATTGGTCCATCTGAGTTCCAAGTCAAATGTGGTAGACCAAAGACGAAAATGATTGCTTCAAGGGATGGAGTGTGGCTAGAAGGAAGGTATGTAGCCGCTGCAACCAGGTTGGCAGTCATAACAAGAAGACATGCACAAGGCCGATTGAGCAGTTTGATTTTTGAATTGTTTCTAATGTTATATTGGAACTATTATTAAATAGTTTTTTTTTCCGTCTAAGTTGAAACTTTTTGTTCTTGTTTCTCATTCCTGAATTTTATTTTGAGCAGCACAACTTTTTGTCAGTCTCTTGAATTTATTCGATGTTGATTTTGTTAATAAAATTTTATGTGGTATCTTTAATACATCAAACCAGTCTTAGTTCACCTCTTCAAAATTTTCCACAGTTTCTCAAAGTTTTTTTAGTTTTCTTCCAGATTTATCAAAACAAGGAGCAATTTCATGGCATCTTCCGTTTCTGCCATATCCATTCTCAATTTCTCAAATTTTCGTGGCTTTTTGTGTTTTTCATCTACATAATTTTTTTTCCCCCCAAATTGACTCAAAACTATTTTACAAGTACGTTTATTTCACCATGAGTCAATTACTTGTAAAGTTATTATATTTGCCTTTTCAGGCATTCTGCTTTTAGTTAAACTAATGATTCATTCGTTTTAGCGTTAAAAGAATGCATGTTGAGCATTTCCTTGCTATGTAGCATTTTTGCGTTTGCCACATTATACAGGGCCATTTTTTCTTTCAGAGTCTCTTCATATTTTTTCCGATGATGATGTACATTTTTTTTAGATTTTTTTTTTCTTGATAAATTGTTGATTCGTGATTGCTCCTCCTCAGTATTATATTCTGATATCCGGAATATTGTTTGAAAAAAATGTTGTTGGCAAATTCAAATTTGTTTTAGTGTTTGTGATCTTACGTTTTCTTTGGATTTTTGTTAATTCGCGATGAGTCTTCTTGCTCATATAATTTTCCTGAGATCTTGTACGTTTTTAGAATATCAATGTTTGGAAGCGTTTTGGAACTTATTTTGATTTCATTTTGAGGAGATATGTTTTGGGGGAAGAATTTGAGAATGAAAGTAATGTTTGTTTATATTTTGGAAGGAGACAAAATACACTGTAGGAGTCGAATCATGTTTAAAGGTGTTAGAAAAAAGTATTGTAGAAGAAAAAAATTGAAAGATGAAGTGATGTTTATTTGTTTTTTAGTGAAGACATATTTTACTGTAACAGTCAAATTATTTTACCGTAGCAATCACATCATGTCTGGAGGAGATAGAACTTTTGAAATTATTTTGAGAAAATAATTTGAAAAACAACTTTGTTTTGTGGAATCAATGAAAACAAAAGAAAAATGGTTCCAAACATATTGTTTCCTTATATTTTATGCACCCATGTTACATCGATATTTTTGTGGCCTCTGTTACTCGATATTCTTGTTAGAGTATGTGACCAACAAGCCAACTTGTGGCTGTGGTCTTTCATTTATTATTGTAATAAATAATCATTTTTTTCGTATTAATGATAAAACACCTTTAGGCATTCTCTACTTTGTCCAATATATTTCTTACAGTTATTATAGTTACTTATATTTGACATAGTAGGATCATGAGATATTTAGTTAAGTAATATAAATGTTAAACCATGTTCCTAGTCAACGGATTACGCCACCAATGAGGATATCGGCCTTTCCCATTCGAGACTAGCACTTAGTGTGTGTGTGTATTGTGCCTCATCAGTAAACGGTATTGTGATATCGGCCTATATAAGTGGGTTCTCATAAGTGGATGAGTTCACTAAACTCCCTCATCCTAGAAATTTCTAAGTGGTTCTCAATAATCGAGTTGAGATCTCTATGATATAGTTGTACACCATTAGTCCTTAAGACCCTGACATTACCGTGACTTTACTAGAGGACCAACTGTATCGTTACTGTCCCTGACTTCCAACGAGGACCGCCCCAAGGGCCAGTGTTCGTGCAGTCCGAAATCTAGTGGGAGGTTTGTGCGTTGTAGTCGGGGATTCGATCGCTAGAATAGTTTTGGATGTCGTGTGTGTTCTTATAGTTTGTAATCATCAAGTCTCTAGCCAGAGCTGACTAAGTGATGATTAGAGAATGTGATTATCTAAGTCATGCACGAATCGATGCAACACTTAGAACGATCGTACAATTATTGAACTATAAAGGATGTTTCGATGAACCAATGTATGCCTCTAGTTCAATCGGGACATATGCATCGAAGGGATCGTACCGTACGTTAACTATATCACACGCTTCTTGTTGGCACTTCATTTGTATCTAGGGAATCATGATGCGTAGTTGTTAGACGCCAATCTTGATTCTTTGGGTGATTAAGTTGAAACGAGCTTCATCTTAATTGTAGCTCTAAGGGCAAGTTTAAACCACAAAGGGTTGTGGGCCCACGACTAGCTTACACCTGAACCATCGAGGGTCACACTGCTTGTGTATACGAATTTCTTGAGTAAACGGTCAAAGATAAAAATAAAAAAATTAATAAAAAAGTTTAATCTTTGCATGATTAGAAGTCAATACGATTGAGTCCAACATTCATAATTGCGAATTATGAATGAGAATAATTGGGAAAGAACTAGGCGATGATCTTAGTGAACTTTCTAAATTGGGAAGTTTCACAATTTAGCAGATTTATTAAATTAGAGTTTCCAACTTTAGAAATTGGAAATCGACGAGGACGTTTCAATGATCCGGAAAATATAATTGTTATAATTTTCGGATCATTAGTTTGTGAGACACGAGCAGAGAAAGACTTACGGGCTTAAGTTGTTGGGCCGAGTCCAACTTAAGCCTGCTACGGCTTGTACACAAGACACTATAAATACAGATTGATATATCTTACACACAAGAGAAGAACCCTAGCCGCTCCCTCGCTCACGGCCGCTGCCCCCTCCGCCGATCCGCCGCTGTTGTCACCGGACGTCGGCCCCACACGCCGCCACCATAATGGGTAGCTTCTTCGTTTGTCTTTTTCTTCCGTTTGTTCTAACTTTTGCGTGTCTAGTGCCACGTAATTGTAGAATTCGCTATACGAGGTGACTCCGAAAGGAGAAAAACGTAAGAATCAGATTGCGGCGACCCCGCCGCCCAGCCGCCGCCGCATGCGCCGTCCAAAGACAGCGCGTGAGCTGCACGCACAGCTGCTGCTCCGCGCGTCTGACGTCGTCGCTCCACCGCCACTTCTCCCGACTGCACGGATTGGTTTCCATGATAGTTAGCTTCGAATCCGATAGTTTGCCTCATGCTTCAAGAGGTAAAATCGGATCCGTAAGTAATATAATTAATATGATTAATTATATATTGATTTTTGTCATATAATTATTGCTCGAATGATTTTTGTGAAATTGTTTAATGCATGATATGTGATTTCCTCCGAGCATGTTACGTGTTTTATCAATAGCAAATCAATAATATTCATGTATGTTTTAGTTTGCGCAGGAACGAATAAAGTACGCATTAATTGTTATATTGTGCACGTGTTTATATGTTAAAAATATTTTTCAAATTTTTTTTCCACTGCGTACACGTGCCTGATTCCCAATAGTAGTATCAGAGCTCGTTTCGCAATTAATTGCGTTCTTGTATTGCTTATTTTAATGCAATGCTTGAATTTATTAAAATTGGGATTGTTGTATTATTTAAT